CTTTTCTTCTGGCTCTCCACATACCTAAAAACTTTAAACTTTTTTCTTTTGTGAAAGAATCTAAATACTTTATTAATTATCATTTATGCTGGGATGTCAAACATAGCCCAGGGGCCAGATCCGGTCTGTGGAGCCCCTCTATCCAGCTCACTGGGTTACCAGCAGGATTCTGAAAGTTAGGCGGCATGTTCTCTCACAGAATGTGGGACCCTTTGCCCCTGTTGGTCATGGCTGTTGGTGGTGAGCCTCAGTTGCTGCTGTAGCTGGCCCTGACCCCTGCTGTGCCCTTGGACCCCCACTGCTGCTGGACCCCTGCTCCAGGTCCCTCACCATTTCTGGATCTGCTACTGCTCGTATGGGACCCCTCACCATTGGATCTGCCACCACTGCTTCTGCAGTCACCACCATTGCACAGGTCACAGTGGTTGCCCCCATGCCCAGGGCTGGATCTGGCCAACAAAGAGCTCCACAGTCTGTATCTGGCCCAGAGCCCCAAGTGAATTTGACACCTCTGCTCTACATTAAACAGCTGTAGCAATACTATAGCAGTCTCCATGTAGTCACTTACAAGGTAATGAATCTAAAATGTTCTACTGTTGCCCTTGGCAGACAACTGTTGTGCCTTTTGCACTGACTTATACATTTTCTTTATTTCCCCCAATTTACTATGTTTCCTCCAAGGTGTTCCTCAAACCAACTATCATTTGTGTAACAAGCAGTAAGACTGTGATTACCTAAAGGCGGAGTGTCTCATGAGGAGCACAGCTGGGCAGCAGCATGGGAAGGCTGCCCCTCTAGAGACAATGTGCTATGAAAGTGGGATGCTTGTCCAAGGAAGGCACCAGTGTGGGCGGATGAAGCCTGCCTGGGCGGACCCATTCTGGGAGAGAAAAAAGGAACGGGGGCCATTGTGGAGGCCTCCAGAAGAAATCCCTGTTGGGAATTGGCTAGGGAGGTCATGGATAACAGGGTTTTCCCCCTCCCTCCTGGGGGAAAAGAGAGAAACGGCCCACACTGCAGGTTGAAGGCTGGAGGGAGCCTGGCTGCAGGGGTTCTTCCCTGGAGCCTGCAGAGCCACTGAGGGAGTTGCTGCAGGCTCGGAGAGATGTCTGAGCCCAAGAATCCCCGCCACCACCCCCCACCACCGAGACGTAGAGGAGAGCTGCGCTGTGGCTTAGCAGGGAAGGAGCTTACAAGCCCTGCGTGGGGGGAGTGTGCATGGAGCAGAAGGGACCAGAGGGAGACAGGCCCGGTCCAACTGCGTGCGCGGTTGAAGATGGTGGGACACAGGCCACAGGGAGCCAGAAAGGCCACCTGGTTCATGGTGGGAAAAGCGGGGTTTAGGGGACACTAGACCCTACTTACCTGGGGTGAGGCACCCTGTAGAAAGCCAGGACAAGGAGGTGACAAAATCCTCTCCGGATTGCTTGGTGGGGTGTGTATGTACTGGCCAGGGGGACTGCTTGAGCCAGCAGCCCAGACCCTGTGGCCAGCTGTATCAGGGGCAGAGATCAGGGGTGAGAAGTGTACTGCAGATGTCAGGAGGGAGTGACGGCCGGCAGCATGTGACACCTGAAGCAAGCACAGGGGGATCCAAGCCAAGGAGGACCTGCCCATGCTCCAGTGAGAGGGGCAAAGAAGTGGCTATTCCTCTCAAGGCATCGCCCTAGGCTGTTAAGTGTGCAGACAGCCATCGTGTTCATCTTGGTGTATAAAAGTTATTGATTGGTTGTGTACATAAGTAGAGGCAAACCTATAAGTCTGTAACTCAGTTGGTTCAGTGTTGGTGCCTTAATATCTATCTGTGATTAGTACTCTCCTTGTAGGTTATGGGTATTAAAAGGAAAGGTTATATGTTGTGACTGTCATTACCAGGGTTGTGGGTGTGTATTATATGTTCTCTTTAATAGCCCTTACAAGTTAAACTTGTTTGATTATTTGTAATTGATATAGTATATAATTAATCCTGTATATAGTTAACCCTGTTTGCAAGACTCATCCTCTGTACAGGGAGATCCTCTTCTTGAGGAACCTGCCGCAGTCACAAGAAGGGTTGGGCAAGGTTGCTGGCTACCAGGCACCCCAGGATCCCACTGTTCGGTGGTGGCCATGGGTAACACCGTGCACCTGGGTTACATTTGCATTGTGAAACTAAAGCAAACTCTTTTAGTTTCCTTTACATTGTGCCTGAACTTCAGATTATTTGTTGTCATGCTCACATAATGTTATTACAGCTTCCTGGTATCTTTAATAGCTGGTTCTAATGATACAGAAATTTCTACTGATCTGACAATAAGATAACAGTTTCAGTCAATGGCTGTTTTGTTATTGTTTCATTTTGTATATCATACACTAACCAGTCCCTTAGTGCATCAATAACACTCTCTTTGGACTAGTGGTGCTCTCAATTTTCTTAATTCAGGCACATGCTCTGAAAATAGTATATAACCTGCACCTCCCTCTCCCAAAACCAGCTGGGGAAAATTGGGGTGTGCACTATATGTGAGGAAAAGGGCTCCTCTTGGGTCTGGAAATTTGGCAGAGGGTAATGGGCAGGGGGAAGGGGGGAGAGTGGGCAAAGCGGTGGCAACACTAATTGCTGTGGCAGAGTGGTGGCAGCATTAATTGCTGTGGTATTGGGTCCGATCCAACACATGGCCTCAGACCCAACACATGGCTCTACAGCTAGGGTGCGGTCTTGCTCTTGGACTCAGCACACCACCCTGGAGCCAATGTATAGAGTCGGATTTGCCATGCAGCCCTGGAGTTGATGTGCCAGATTAGGCCTCCGTGTCAGATTGGGTCACTTCCCACATGTGGCCCCCAACTCCTGGCCCCCAGCCCTGCCATATAGCCCCACTGACAGTATGCTGGATCATGTCCCATCATGGGGCCCCAGCATCGGCGTGCCAGATGGGGCCCCAACACATGACTGCTGGCCCCCAGACCCCACAACATGGCCCCCAGCTCCCTGCACATGGTCCACAGTCCTGGAAGCTCCAGACCTTTGGAACTTACCTGTACACCAAAGTTATTTTTATTCCTTTTTGGGGCCTTCCAAAAATTGGGTGCATGTTATGTTTGGGTATGTTATATGGGAAAGGCAAAAGAATTCTGTTTCTTATTCCATTTATAAAAGCAAACAGGTCCCACACTCACCAATTGCTTTGGAAAGAGTTGATTTTTGTAAAATTGCCTCAAACTCAACAAATGTTTTGTCTATAGGCTTAACTGGAGCTGCTAGCCAATAGTGATCAGCACCAGAGAAAAGCCCGTAAGTACTTATTCAGTCTTTCTTCAGAACAGGTTTTGCATCACACAAAGCATCATGTCATATAATGTAACATTCTTTTCTTACCTGCATTTCTAAATGTGCAGATTTGGTCACTAAATGTCAAGAAAGCCTAGCACCTAGGCCTGTGCATGTGGATGACTGTGCATGCCCAAACTAGGCCTATGTACTGGAAACAAGATGAAAGAGACCATCTCTTCCCTCCAAGGGAGTTCAGTGGCACTCACCTAGGAAGGTGAAGGTCCTGAGTGCTGGGACCTTCTCCTAGAGGAGGTTGAACCTGGCCCCCTATGATTTCCCATCATAGCACTCCAGACACCACACCACAGGCCAGCCATTATGTAGGTTGTTCTCTGGTGCTCCTTTTGAAGTTGGGTCCTTGGCCAGCAACAGGAGAAAGACATGAGGGAAATTGTTGAGGGCAAGAGGAGTAGAGCAAGTGAGAGTGAGTGCCTGTTGCTTTGAAAGGAGTGGAAAGCCCCTCAGTTCTAGCTGGGCTTCTGCTCCCAGTAAGGCAGAAGATTCTCTCTGTATTGACTCTCCAACCACATTTTCCAAAGACTGTATTACTGGCTTTGCTTCAAGGAGCATAAGTGACAGCTGACCTGTGGTGTGGTGTTAGCATGCTGTACTAGGAGGTCAAAGACACATAAACCTGTCCCCTACTACCACCAGGTGAGGGGAGCCAAAAATCCAGCACTTGCAGCTTTCCAGGTGAATGCATTAACTACTGAACTATGAGGGGAGGTACGTGCACACGCACACTCCTCTGCTGTTCGTCAGCCTAAATCTAATAGATACAGGTTTTGGCCAACTCCATTTCTGGGCATCTAAGAACAATATGCATCCACAAGGGGCATGCGTACAGTCCCTTGCTACTACTATACATGCTCATTCTGTGTAACTACGTAGTCATGCACTTTTGTCCACATGCTCAGGGCTATGTGCCCAGGAAAAGAATGCCAGAATGTGCATAAGTGGTATTTTTTGACAGTTTAATGATGAAAAGTACCATCTAGATGACCAAATCTGAATGCTTAGATGAACAAGAAGGAAATAGACCACTGCCCTTACTGACCAATTAGAAGAAGAACAAATATTGAATAACTGCTCTTTTGTGGAGCACTGTTCATACTGAGAGAGGTGTCCTGGGGATTAAAGTATTTAGTATGTGATTGCATAATTAATGACAATTGTCATACTGTAAATGCACCTTTAGCCATAACTCTGGCTTTGCAAGTTTAATGCTCTTCTAACATAGTTTGTGTGTATTATATATATTGCACCAATGTAAGAGTAGCAGACACATGACACAAAACCCTAAACTGAGAAAACTTAATCCAGCCTGTTGGAGATTTGTCCGTGAAGGAATCAGCAGTAAAAACCTACCGGTCTAAGTTGCACCAATTTAGGTTTCATCTCTCTGTGTCCATTCAAACAAGCTATACCTGCTCCCTCACTACCTGGAAAGGTACTAGCACCTGTTACCTTTGGGCAGTTGCACATCTGTCCATTCCTGACCCCTAAGTGGTTTATATCAATAAATACCAGTCTTTCAGTATAGATGAGCCATAAAGGGATCCTACCCAATTCCTATATATGACATAGGAACGATGGAAGAGTAAAAGACGCAACAGGAAATGGGGCAGAGGCAGGAAAGGGCAAGGGAAGAGAGACAGTGTGGTAGTGGTGTACGGTCCAAACTCACGTTTTGATAACTTGTCCCAAGTCATATCTGTCAGTCACCTCAGATGGCTGGTTGTAATCTTTCTTGTCCCCTAGGGTTACACAACCAAACGGCATCGCCAGGCCCGATGCTGGAAGGCAAAGAAGCTGGATTAGTGTCTGAGGAGGTAATGATGGCTGGGGCTGGCAAAGCAGCAACACAGATTGCTCGACATCCTTCTTTGGATCACAGAGAAAAAAAATACAGGGATTAGAGCCCTACCCTCTGCTCTGACTCCCATCCCTTGCTTTCTGTCTGGCATCCACAGGTCCCTCTGTGAGGGACACCTGAAGAGCTGGTGAGCCTGGCATCCTGTCTCTTAACAGTGGCCAGCACTAGGGGAATGGGTAGGAACCGAGGCACAGCAGATATGGAGCAATCTGTCTATATCATCAACTCTTATCTTTGTTCCTAACAATCAGAGTGGCTTAAACCCAGAAAGGTCTTCAGTCCAATATATTTTTTGCTATCATCAGTCAGGCTCATAAATCTGGCTATTCTTATCTGTCTCACTGTATCTTGTCAAGTTCTTGGCCAAGTTATCTGGCAGCAAGTTCCATAGCTTAATCATTTCTGAATGAACAAATACTTCCTCACTTCTGAATTCCTTACCTTTCTGTTTTATTCACTTTTTATTATTATTATGTTCTGAGGTGAAAGGAGCAGACACTCTTCTCTAAGTCAGTTGTTATTTTATAGATTTGTATCTGCCCCCCCTCATTCATCTCCTCTCAGAAAAAGGTCCCAGTTCTTTTATTGTTCATCACAGAAAAGTTCCTTTGTCACTCTTTTCAGCCACACCGAGACCCCCATCAGTTCCTTCCCCTAAGATATGGGGCAGGCAACTCTGCACACAAGATCCAGATGAGGCTGCACTCTGGATCTATATATAAGCATTACAATAGTCACCATGATATTTTCCCAGTTGTCAAGTTCCCTAATTAGCTGTTTGACCACAGCTGCACTCCGCTGAGCTGTGCACACTGACACCTAGGTCCCTTTCTTGAACTGAGAGTGAATTTAAAACTCTTTAAGGTGTGCAAGTAGTTTAAATTTCCCCCTTCAATGCATGCTACTTTGCCCTTATTGACACTAAACTTCTCTTACAGTTATGGGCGACTGGTGCCGCCTTAGTGGGGGGGGGCACGTGCCCTCCCCAGCGACCAGTCAGCAACCGGGGGCAGGGTAACCCCGCAGCCGATCCCACCGACTGATCTCGAGATGGCCGATCGCTGCAGCCGCTTCTGGAAGTGCAATGGTGTTCCACTCCCCGGCCAGCACTTGTAGGAGGGACACCAGCGCTCCCACCGCGCCCCCCCTCCCAGCATCACCTAAGCGGCAAGTGCAGCCGATCAGGGGGTGCACCAGCACTCTCAGGGAGTACACATGCACTTCCTTGCACCCCCTACATGTCGCCACTGCTTACAGTAACATTGCCTGTCCACAATGCCTGGTTGGGTCCCTCTGAAATTCCTCAAAGACTTTTCCAAACCTGACTAACCTAAATAACTTTGTCATCAGCAAAGTTAGCTACCCCTTTTTCTGGAACATTAAATAACACAGGACCCAATATAGAACTTTGAGAAACCCTGCAGTTAAAGAAAACTGAGGAAAATTGACCATTTATTCCTATTCTATTTCTTTTTCATTTCTTAGCTTGTTTTTGATCATTGAAAATACTCTGCTTCTCACTCCATGAGTTCTTTAGCTTCTTTAGTAGCTGCTAGCAAGGAATGTTATCAAAGGCTTTTTTGAAATTCTAAACAAATTCCTGCCAAAGTCAGACCACTACCTCCTACAGCAGGGTTGGGCAATAATTTCGACTGGGGGGCCACTTAACAAGTTTTGGTGAGCTATTGAGGGCCATACACATAAAATCTTTTAGAAGATAATATTTTAACAAATTATAGATAAAAACAAATCTTATACTAAAAATCAAATATGTACTATAAAATATTTTAATTTTATTTTAAAAAATTATTTTTGTCCTGATTTATGGTTTTTTGAGTAGCATATATAGAAGCAATTGCACACTAGCTCCAAATAAAGTCTTAGTCTTGTATATTGTGGGGGAAAGGAGAAGGTGTGGAGGGGGTGGGGGTGGGTATGTGCATGTGAGGTTGGGTATGGGCTTCCTGTGTGCTAGGTCCTGGAAGCCAGCCAGGGATGCAGGAAGGGAATGGGAGGGCAGGGGGCACATGCAGTAGAGCTCGCCCTGGTGGTACAATGCAGGTGTAGTCTGTGCTCTCTTCAGCTGCTGGCCCTGGCCCCAGGCTGCATGCACAGCTTCCCGGCAGGGCTGCTTCTGGCTTGACTCCTCAGTTCCCACCACCTCTGGCAGCTACTCCTCCTCCTGCCCCACTCCAGGTGAGGGGGTGGGGGGAGGAAGCTGCAACAAGGTGGCTCCTCCCACAGTGCACCATCTTCAACTCCAGCTCCCAGCCACCTTCCACCCACTCTGCCTGCTGGGTGCAATGAGCAGCCACCTGCAGGTGGCTGAGCGGATGGAAAGCAGCCAGGAGCTAGAGCTAAAGCCCCGAGTGCTAGGGCAGAAGCCACCTGGCTGCAGCTTCCCCACCACCCCACCTGGAGCAGTTAGGAGGAGGAACAGCCACTGGAGGGGGGGGCGGGAGCTGAATAGTACCTGGGTAGCTGCAGCGGCACTGGGAGCAGCCCTGCTGGGAAGCTGTGCACACTGGCCAGGGCCAGGTTTGGCAGGCACAGGTGGAAGTGCAGCACAGACTGCCTGGGTTGGAAGCAAGTGGGGCTCGACCCCATGCGGAGCACCATGGGGGCAGCTGTGGGCCAGATCCAATCAGTGAGAGGATGTCCGCCTGGAGGCTGGACCCAATTAGTTGACAGACCATATTTTGCCCATCTCTGCCCTAGAGTCTCTATCCTCCATTGTTGCTATCAGGGCTGTAGGCTGGCTGGAGACTCATGGAGCCAGTTAGATTCCAGAACTCTCTCGGGGACATTCCCACTGACCTTGATGGTTACTCTATTGATGGTCTGGTTGATCTATAGAATAGCACACTGAACTTGGCTATAGAAACAGCAGCATCCAAGCATCCACTCCCACTACTGCATGAGGTATGGCATCTGGAATGCAGGTGGCTCTTGATCTGTTCTGAAACTGAACAACTGTGGCAAAGATCTTTCTTAAAGGACTATAGCATGGCAAGAAAATCTGGAGTGGACACCCTAAGGCAGTTAGGCAATTATTTAATCTTCTTTCTGGCAGCTCCTACAACTTTCACAGCGCCACACTGTATTGGTTCTACTTTTCCAATGGACACATTGGCAAAGTCAAAAGGGTGATTCTGAAGCTTCAGCAACTCTTGATCACCTAGAAAACACTCAGGCTTTTGTGCCCTGGAGAGGTCACTCCAGCTTTGCCAATGCATTGAAACGAACAGGAGTCAACAGTTACCAGTTATAATCCATTAATAGATTGGCATAGATCCAGGCACCAGAGGTTGTCTCCAACAGTGGGAGAGGTCATTGCACCTCATTGGAAAATGACCATTTGCCTCAAGCTGGACAGTCCCCAGCCAATATGATGTTTTTCTGCCACAGTGATGCTTCAGTGGGTGTTTGAAGCTTAGAGATTCAACTTGAAAGCAGTCTATCGTGCACCACCAGCTACGACAAAAAATATGAAGGAAAACCTTTTAATCCTAAAGATTGGAAGTTGAAACATACATACAGTGACCTCAGATATATCCAGTGATCTCCAAACCATTGCTGGTGTAAACAAAACTGCAGTCATTGATGTGGAACTGCCGAGAGTGAATGTCAATATGATTGCTCTACAAGAGACCGGATTCCAAGGCACCAGTTGCGTGAAAGAAAACAGCTGCACCTTTTTTGGTGTGGTAGACATCCCGAAGAAATCGGAGAGCACGATGTTGGCTTTGCAGTCAAAAACAAAGTGCTGTTTGCAATAGTACCGCCAAGCAAAGGTTCTGAAAGATTAATGTACTTCGACTCACTACTGCCTCTGGTCCTCTTATGTGCATACGTCCCTACTCTCACCACTTCATCCAAATCAAAGGACCACTTTTATAATGAGCTTAGTGCCTTAATCAGTAATTTTTCACCTAATGAAAAAATCCTCCTGATTGGAGACTTCAGTGCAAGGGATGGCACTAAGCATGCTGCCTGGACTCACTGTTTGGGTGCCAATGGTGTCAGCAAAATGAATGAAAACAGGAAACACTTACTCAAGTGATGCATAATAAATTCTTTCTTCAATGTGAAACCTCAACACAAGGTATCTTGGTGCCACCCACGATCTGGACACTGGCAACAACTTGACCTAATTATCACCCGCTTACAAGACTTCTGTGATAATTAACGTCATGCAGTCCCATCAGAGTGCTGACTGTGATACTGATCATACATTGGTATTGTGGCAGAAGGCCACCTCTGTTTCTTCCCCAAAACTCTGCTCTGTGACAATTTGGTTAATATGGGCCCAGCAGAGAATACACCCCCTTCCCCATCTCTTTAGGTAACCTGAGCTGGATACATTCCTGAGGGAGGGGGGAAACCTGCTCCCTCTGCCTACGTGACTGGCATCACAAACCTGGGTGAAGGGCTTGGGCACCCTGGTGGGCTAGAGATTGCCAGTCTGTCCAGCAACCAGTGATGCATTTCAAATTGGTTGGCTGACAGCCAACAGGTGCTGGCCTCCATTGGACCAGGTAAATGAGGTCATAAGGGCTATATAAGTTAAGGACTGCCCAGGAGGAAGGGGCAGCAGTCACGAGGAAAACTCAGAGAGAGAGAGCTGGACCATCTGAAACTTGCTCTCTCTCTCAAAACTTATGATTAAGGAACTGCCTGCCTCCAGAGGGAATCTCCACCTGCCTCTGAATGATACTTGTGAGTAAGCTACCTGAGATCTAACTAGCTATATAGCTTGCAGTAATTCAGATGTGTGATCAAAGGCTACTCCAGCCACCCTGTTTGCTCTATGGGATTTCTCTGATACTACTCAACTCTGTACCCTATTCCAATCCTACTCCTTGTAACCAATAAAGTTCTCCTTTGTACCTAGCATGGGAGACTTATCGGGAGTAGGTCT